ATTCCGCACATTCTTTCGATAGCATAAAAGCAACCTACAATTTCGAAATTATTCACCACCTGATGATTCCTATACGGATGAAACAGACTGTTGTGGTTTTTTGAGGGAAAACGAAAAACTATATATATATATATATATATATATATATATATATATATATATATATATATATATAGATATAAATATCACTAGCTTCCCAAAAAACTTCATTTATATAAAACTTCAAGTTGGAAACAAAATTTATTAAACTTCAAACAAATACATAATACGTTTCGGGGCACAGCCCCTTCGTCAGAAACTAGATAAGTTCAATCCATGTCCTTAAATACTTTAGGCTCAATCTAATTAAGATACGCTAATAATATATAGACTTGCATATCAACATTCCTCCCTCAAATTTAATCCCAGTGGTACGTATGTATTCAATTTTTCAATCCAAGAGCTTTCCCTCTCTGTAGGTTTATTAATATCCGTGATATCAATAATCTGTGCTTTAAAGTCATTAAGACCCGAATGGCCCTCCTCAAAAAAATGTTCATACAAATGTTGAGCACATAAACCTCTTTGACCCTTAGAATATCTTTTAAGCGAACTCTTATGGTTATTAAATCTAAGACGAAATGACGTTATTGTATTGCCCAAGTATTGTTTACTACATTTTCCGCAAGTAATTAAATAAACCACCCCCGAGAGTTACAATCAAAGTGATGGTTAATGTGAAACGTGCGCTGTTGTACTGTTCTTTGAAAAGTATCCGCTACCACGATGGAATCACAAACTTTGCACTTCTTTCCCCCACATTTAACCATCCCTTTAGCTGCAACCTCAAGCTTATGCAATTTAGCCCGAACAAGATGGTCTTTAAGGTTTTTCTATCTCCTAAAACACACCATAGGTGGCTCTGGCATGACACTTAGGAACTTGTTAGATAAGCCTACAATATTTTGCAATTCCATAAAAATTCCATAAATTTCCCGCAATGCTGGGTGATAATCTATGATAAAGGTACTCTTATTATTTTCCCTTCTAGTTTGTTCACTTCCCCGTTTAAATAATGCCGACCGATGCAAAAACCTGACTCTCTTAAACTGACTCTCTACAAATTCGCTATTATAGCCCCTTTTAACCAGAAACCCTTTCAATTCCTGAAGCCTACTCTCAAAAACCTTATCTGAATGGCAAATCCGCTTTAGACGAAATGCCTGTCCATAAGGAATTCCCCTCTTAACATGTGGAGAATGGCAGGACTTAAAATTTAAATACTGATGTGCATCAGTGGGTTTACTATACACATCAGTACAAAAAAACCCATTATCCAATCCTACCGACACGTCAAGAATGGAAATCCTCTGATAACTTATATCCCATGTATACTTGATATTCTCGTGAAAAGAATTCAAACGAAGCAAAAAATAATTTAATTCCTCCTCCGAATGAAGCCAAATCACAAAAATATCATCTAGGAAACGCCACCATACCCATGGTTTTAACTCACACGTTTCCAAAAATTTTTCTTCCAAGTGCCCCATAAATATATTTGCAAAACCTGGTGCGAACTTGGTCGCTATGGCTGTCCCCAATTGTTGGCGGAAGATTTTTTCATCAAATTCAAAATAGTTGTTTTCTAAGACCAGCCTTGCCAAGGAAATCAAGTCCTCAACCGGTAGCTCCCACTCAGCCCTATTAAAAGTTGCCAGAAGCGCTTCCAACCCGATCACATCTATAGTACACAAAATAGCAGTAGATGGGATGTGTCCCAAACTCTCTAATTTTTGAAGAAAATCAGAAGTATCCTTAATAACAGATGGTACATTACACGCTAAAGGTTGTATATGAAAATCCAAAATTCCGATATTCTTTCAGTGGCCGTACCGCAATTTGAAATAACCGGCCGTCCTGGTACATTCTCCAAACGCTTATGAATTTTAGCAACAAGTAAAATTTTCCTAATCGGGCCTTAGAAACCATTAGATATTTTCTATTAGCCAAAGATATATATCCTTTATGCACCAAAGGATCCAACGTTTTTTCTGTTAAAGAATTAACCCTATCCAAAGGATCTGACTGAGTAACCTCATATACCCGCTGATCATTAAGATGATTATAAGCTTCATCGTAATAATCCTTCCTTCCCCACACAACTACAGCCCCACCCTTATCTGCCTCCTTAATAACAATATTTCGATACTTCTTTAAATTTTTAAGTGCTTCTTGCTCCTCTGAGGAAAGATTACTAAAATTACTACCCCGTTCGTTAATAGCCAAAACCCGTTCTTCGAATTTACTAAGATAAAGCTCAATTGCTGGATCTAAATTTTCCCTAAATTGTCTAAATGTTTGCCCCTCCTGTTCAATACCGATGTTGGAATGGAAAGATGCCTTACATTTTAGTTTTCTACCAAATTCCTTAATATCTCTTTTAACAGATGAAATATCTAATTCAATAGGGGTGGGACAAAACTTTAGACCCCTTGAAAGTAGCGAAACCTCAGCCTGCGTC